TAGAATGCAGGTAAATGAAGTTTACCTGTATTCGGAATGATATTGTAAATTACAATTACAGAAGAAATATATACGAGTTTCTGGTATGAAAACCGAATTGAGGATTTTAAGTTTTTGAGGTTTGATAATATAACTGTATATATGCAAAAATGTTAACAACTTCGAAACGAACCAAAATGTTTAGAAAGTTGTGCAAAATGTAACAATAAAACCAGAAAAATTATTAATATAATAATGAGGTTGTTATTGTAAGGAGTTACAGAATAGATTTATATCTTAACATACAGTTAATAGTACCGTAATAAGGTAGTATGGAAATGACTTGGGTAAAAATTCAGTTACCTCTATTTCCATGAAAGCTGGTTGTACAAGTGAAATTGTACAAGAAGAGATGGCTGTGCCAGAGAAGAGTGCAGCAGTAACTGCTGCTGCTGATACAGTTGAAAGTGAACGTCCGTCAGCATGTTGTTGTTGTTGCTGGGGTGTTGTTACTCGGCGTTGAGGAGTAACTTGAATTGATGTTTGCTGAGGTTGGAGAGTAGAAGTTGGTTGATTGATAGCCATTCCAACAGAAGCAGTCGGCATAAACTGTGGTAAACCAGTGGTTTGAATCAGCTGACCGTTAGGACCAACAGCCATGACTTTTAATGGAGCTCCTGGTGCCAGAGTGATAAACTGGGGAGTAGCATAGGAGCGTGCAGCTACAGTACAAGGTTGACCACTGACAGAGACGTCAGTTGCCATCATTGTTGCTTGTTGCTGATGTTGTTGGATATAAGCTTGCTGTTGAGCTGGTTGTAACTGATGAGCTTGTGCTTGAATCTGTTGTTGTTGAGGTGATTGGGTAAACTGTTGTAATTGAACAGCTGTAGGACCGGCTTGAGTAAATCGAGTTGCAGACCATTGTAAGAGTGTTTGCACACCTGTAGACAATGCTGAAGCTTGAGGACAGAGAACTGGAATTGAGGTGTTGCATAACAGCCAGCTGCTTGAGTATCAGGGTGAACTGGGATAGCAGTCGCTGTGCCGCCAGGTCCGGAGGTATTTTAGCAGAAATATCAGTAATTATACATCCAAATGTTATGAAGTTATAAAAGTTAATGCGATGGCAAAGATGATTTATTCCAATGTGTATATTTCGAAATGATGTAGTCCATACATCAGCTATGTCGGGTTCACCAATTATTGTGCTGCTATATTTTGACTGAACTAGAATACACGTCTCTTCTAGTATTTCTTCGCGTTTACCATTGTGCCCTAACGTTGCGATTACTCGACATCCGCAACGTAATTCAAAAGGCACTTGCGAAGGAATACGATAGTGTATTATTGCAGCAATCAACAATTCAAAAATCGAGCGAGTGCCAAAGGTATCAATTGTTAACATGCAAGATTTAGAGTAATAACAAATCGAAGTACAATTACACAATGAAAGTATAGTACGATTAGGAGTAATAAAACGGGTCACTACATTAGCATATGGATGATCTGACACAGTCACAAAGAGATGCAAGGTTAACTTTTTGTGAGAAACAACCAATCAAAAGACTATTTTCTACTAACAATAATCTACAATAATGTACATTAAAGTCTATAAATATGTTTTGATTTTCCTTAGTAAACGATCTGTTTGGCTGGCCTTTGTCTTCTGTTGTTACAGAACTACTTCACATTTCTGCAAAAGTTCTATGTTGAAACCAACTAATCACTGTTTATCTTTGCATACAATTTACAGCAAGGCGCTATATGCGGCAACTCTAAAGAATAGGAACCCAAATCGAAACGACCTACGAACGCAAGTTCAAGTCAAAGAAACAATGAGTGACAATACAAGTAACCTGGAATGTGTGAAAACACACAAAAACAACCAATCACGTCCAAGGTCACCAGGAGAGATGATTAATAAACTCGTGGAGAAATCTAAAAGCTCACTTCAATTTGAAGTATGCGCTGAAGATGTCACCCAGTAGGGTGATGAAAGCTCCGCAAATTAACTATCCAGCTATCTCAGAGAACACAACCACATCAGAATAACCCACCTGAGCTACAAATCTCCTCAATCATGATCATACTTTACAAATCGATATTATTTAAAAAGCACACCCTGATATTGTTATTGACTACTAATCTAGAATATTCTATGTATATAAACATGCATATATGTAAATATAATTGTAGAGCGAGAAGAGGAGGAGGAATTTATCGGAAAGGGGGATATTCTTTGCTGGCTCGATTATATTTTGTGTTTTATAGGTAGATGTCTGAATGAATATTTTCGCTATTATTGAAATCACCTTTCGTAAACTTATTCTTGTCAGGCCTAGAAGCCACTTGCAGCAACATATACAAGAAACGGATTTATTCCTAAGATATGTTGATGACATTTTTATTATCTGTGGAAGCAGATCAAAAGCTGAAGACCTCCGGTTGATAAAATTCAACTTATGCCATCCGAATCTGAATTTCACATTAGAACACGAGGAAAACGATACTGTTAAATTCCTAGACGTTTTTCCAGCGAAAATGAATGATGGCACAATCGAAAGATCTATATTTAGAAAGTTTGCATGGACAGGACAGTACATGCATTTCAAGAGCTTTGTTCCAATCTAGTATAAAAAGAACTTAGTCAGAACACACTGTTCAACAGAGCACGGAAAAAGCTTGTTCTGGCAGTGCTATTGGGCATGAAATAAAATCTCTGAAGGATATTTTATCTAAGAATGGATATCCTGGGAAGTTCATTAATACAAATACATAGGCAGCCTGCTTAAACCTTGGCCTACCAAAATTTTCCCTCACTTATATTGCATCTGATTACTTGGATTTATTTTGTTTTAATTATTCCATTATGTGTCCAAATCGTATTACTTACTCTCGCGATTATTTAAAATGTTTTCAACCGGATGATTTACGAGTATATGAAATAACCTTAAGAAAAAGCATCATGGTGGGTGACAACGATCCTTAAAGTGTACTCCAATGCATCAGATGACTGTCCCCTGTGATTAAAAGCACAAATTGCAGGTCACTATCAAACAAGATTTCATTACTTGGATGCTCTATTATTATGTACAAATATTTACCGTAATACAGGGGTGTAATAATAACGCTTCAAGGAACTTGGCTACACGACTCATATGATGGATGGCACAATTTAATCTTACTGAATGGTTTAAATACATTTTTGTCTTTAGATAAGTCAATAAATAGTATATGTAGGAGAAACTTTCAGACAAGTAAATAAATATACGGGTGAAAGAGCATAAACAATGTCTCAAGGTGTTTGGTTCCAAAGACCTCTGCAGACGTGAAGAAGCTAGAAAACAACTCAGCGATTGCACTGCACTGCATTCGATAGCAACGGGACACAAAATCGACTTTGATAAGACTAAGGTTCTACAGAAAGGTTTTGGTTCATATAAAGAAAGACTGACTGACTGCAGAAGCCCTACATATATATGGGTGAATCCCAACAGTTTGAACAGACGTGAAGGTGTGGTGTGATGTTAGCTGATGCATGGCAAATCCTGACTAATAAATAAATTGGATATGTTTTCAACAACTAGTCACACTTCATCAAATTCCCGATTGTCTACATCTTCTTATGGAGAGAATAACAAATTTATAAACATATCATATTTGTAAAGAATCTCAATTATTTTGCAACGATCCAGTCAAATCATGATCACAGCTCAAATGAGAATAACAAATGTTTTATGACTGTTCACCCACGCACACATACACACACACACCATTGTATACTGCATATACACATATATATTTTTTAACAAAAGTAGACTAGTTTGGGAATCATCGGCAGTACGCACCCACTGGGATTCGAACCCAGGACCTTCGGGTTACAAGGTAAGCTCGTATACCATTCAGCCACTGGGACCCGATTCAATGGCTCATGAATTCTAACTTCTACCAATTCGTGATTTTAGCGCGACCCCAACTATTGTCGTTGGTGGGACATCCATCCACACACGTGACTTCTAGTTGCACCTCACTGGTCACGACTTCTCACTAGAACTACAGGAAGCTCCAACCTGTAGCAAGTCACTAGCAAGCATCAGAATAATTTTCTATAGTTTGGTTTGTAAGGATTAGTTATGTTTTACGAGTTGATCACGGACTGATATCAGTTAGAGAACCATTGGAAACCAGCTTTGCGGGGAGTACTGGACAGCTGCAGTTTCATCCTAGTTTGGGAATCATCGGCAGTACGCACCCACTGTGATTCGAACCCAGGACCTTTCGGTTACAAGGCAAGCTCGTATACCATTCAGCCACTGGGACCCGATTCAATGGCCAGTGGATGAATTCTAACTTCTACCAATTCTTGATTTTAGCGCGACCCCAACCGGAAGGTCCTGGGTTCGAATCACAGTGGGTGCGTACTGCCGATGATTCCCAAAACTAGGATGAAACAGCAGCTGTTCAGTACTCCCTGGTTTTCAATGGTTCTCTATCTGATATCAGTCCGTGATCAACTCGTAAAACATAACTAATCCTTACAAACCAAACTATAGAAAAAGTAGACTGACGTTGAAATTCTGAGGTCAAATTTTGATCACAGCTGATAAATTTTTGTTTATTATACTTGATGACACTTGTTGAATGACTCATGATTGGACAAAGTTTCAAAATCAAGTGATGTTCTTTTTATACATAAATCCCTGTTATGTTAATTTCGATTAATTTCCCTGAAGAAGTTCGGACCAGATTGCCGAAAACGCATGAAACGTTGGAATTACTCATTTCAATTTCGCTGAGATTTTACAAATATAATGTTTTATAAATAGTCATAAGATTTAGACAATTTAAATCAATTTATTATAACAAAAAAGGAGAGGGAAATGAACAATTTAAACAAAAATAATGTGAAAGGGGAGGGTAAGTTTCTAATACTTACACAGAATTCATTCACACTTCGTTATGAAACAGAAATCTAAATCTATGCATAAACATGTTTATTCATATATATTACAAGATCTGTTGAATGATATGAACACAGTGAAAAAGATCACCCATACATACATACACACATACAAACAGACAACGTTGTCAAATGCGAACTTCTTCATATAAAAGAAGTAATGCTTCTGAAAAGGTTTTACGCAGTTGAGGTCTAGCAAGTTTCATATTCGCTGTGAGTAGACCATTTTCTACAGTGAATGGACTCGAGGATAAATAAACAGCTTTAACCTGAAAGAGGAAAATAATAAGGATGAGTATATATAATAATAATAATAATATGCTTTATTCCAGAAACAGTACTAATGGTACAGTGTGGAATTTTCAGTGCATATTTAAATATTGCACCTAATTTTATCAAACATTTAAAAGGAGTATTTAAAAAATATAAATATAAAGACACCAACAGCAAAAAAAACAAACAGGAAAAACACAAAAGTAATTATAAGTGCGAAGAAATACGAAGAAGTAGAAAGGAAAATAAACATCATATAATAATATCTCAGTTTTGGGTAGTGGAAGCTATGATATGATTATGCATGGTGACAGTAAAGCTATAGTCATACAAGAAGTTATGAAATGATATTTAAGAATGTTTATCGCCAAGATGATCAGTTAATTTGGTTGAAACACAACACTAAACAATCATAAAATAACATTTCAGGGTTGTTGTTTTGTTTTTTATTGTCAGGTCTAATGCAGTGTTTGTGGTGGTAGTGTGAGTAATCCTGCATAATACAAAATTTTGAGGTGGTGACTATGGTGCTCACAACCAATGATTGTCAGTTAATATTGCCGAACAAAAAAACAACCACAAAACTAATAATTACATGATGGTTAATGACAGGACAATTTTGTACTACTCATAGTGCTAATATAGTTGGAAACATTGGATACACAAAAGAAGGAATACAGTAAAGTACAAAAAAGTAAGCCAATATTAATAATTTAGGTAGCTAAGTATGTTTAAGAAGGAGTTTACTATAGAATACAAAATAAGAGAGAAATAAAAGAGCCTAAAATTATGTTATTAACAACAAAGCAAGTCATAGGTTTCGCACTTAACATTATATATATATATATATATGCGTCGGTGGCTTAGCGGCAGAATGCCCACCAACCACGTATGTGGTTCAGGGTTGCATCCCCGGGCACCGACGGACCCTTTTACCTTGCTCACTAAGCTAGTAATACGACTGGTAAAGACGGAAGGTTGTACATAAGGCCAGCAGCAACCCCATCCCATAAAAAACATACACCCCACTGCTACCGAAACTACCAGCCTTCAGCTTGAAGGCACCCTATGTTCCACTAGGAACGTGAAAAGAATTAAATGAATGATACATATATATTCGAGGATTGGTTTTGTAGGGATTTTGTTCGATTGGATGGAGGATTTCATCATGAGGTGACATCGGTCAGAGAACCATTGGAAAACCCACCACTGGAAGTACTGGACAGCCAGCTATTTCGTCAGCCTAATTTGTGACTCTTCAACAGTGCACATCCACCGGGATTCCGACCCTAGGATCTTCTGATAACAAGACCAGGGAGCTCGTAGACCATTATGCCACAGCAGCTCGCCTTGTAATCAGAAGGTCCTGGGGTCCGAATCCTTGTGGATGTGCCCTGTTGAATGCATATATACGTATATATCCTCCAACCCCTGCAATGTACTTTTTCTGTATGACCACAGACTTGTAGGAAGCCAAATCAAAACAATTCTCATCCAACAGTTAGCTGTACGACAATGCTGCATGTCGCCAAGTAATCCACAACGGGAAACTTACGGAATCCTTCGAAGTGAGGACAGGAGTAAGACAAGGCTGCCTACTATCGCCAATGATTTTCCTGATTTCAGTAGACTGGATAATGCGACAAACAGCGGGCAGTGAGGAAACAGGCATAAAATGGACTCACACGTAGAAAGAACTTGGAGGATCTGGACTTCGCCGATGATATATGTCTGATTTCCCACAAACTGGAATATATGCAAGTGAAAAGCAACAAGTTGGCAGAAGAAGCATCCAGAGAAGATAAGAATTGCTTCAGGTGAACATTGAGAAAACAGAGGTGATGAAGATTCCTGGGCAACACCAACAGCAATAACAACAGACAACAATCAGCATAAATGGGGGGAACCTGGAAGAAACAACCTCCTTTACCTACCTGGGAAGCATCGTTTCAACTACAGGCAGAACTGACGAGGATATCAAAGTAGCGAGGATCGGGAAAGCAAGACAAGCTTTCATTACTCTCAAGTCTGTGTGGAGGATGTGAACAGCACTCAGCATGAAAAATAAGATCCGCATTTTCAACTCCAATGTGAAGTCAGTCAGTGCTACTTGCTATACGGATGGATCAGAGACTTGGTCAGCGCGTCATAAAGAGCACCTGAAACTAACTACAGACCTTCATCAACACCTCTCTTCGCTCAATACCACTCAAGATCAGATGGCCGACCGGCCACAAAAGATCAGCAACTGGGATCTCTGGGAGCGAACCAACACAGCAGGAACCGATTGTGCAACAAATTAGCAGAAAGAAATTGAGGTGGATTGGCCACTATTACTGCCCTGGCTGGCCTTTAGTAGAGACCATAAATTCATGAATTTGTAATATCATATTTCCTTATTCAACTGACATTCAGTTTATTGTTATGTTGATGCTATTGAGCTGTAATCCACTCGTATTATTACTATTATTATTGATTCGATGTTATTTAAATAGCAACATTCATGTTGTTGTTCATAACACTAATTCATTCATTCATTCACTATAATGGATGGATATATAACTGTAAAGCCTGATGATGATGAAGGGGTTATCGAAAAGAGTATTTATTTATTCTTTGTTCAATATCCATCCATTCTTTTGAAAAATGTGATTCACAATGTGTAACAGGGTTGGTTGTCCACTATTTACAGAACAGAAAAGTGCACTGTGTTTTTGAACACCGCATAATTGGTTGAACCACAATTCGTGTTAGTTAGCAAAGGTTATGCACCAGTTTGACTGCAGCTGCGGAGCCAGCCAGCTACATTGGGCGTACAATTAGGCAGTTTCATCGTCGTATTTCCGAACATCATCCAGCATGGTTAAGCAAGGGACAAACAAGATCTATTCGTAGTTCTATTTTAGCACACCTTGTTGATACTGAGCATAAGGTTGATGTTAATACTGCATTTAAAATTATTTATCGCATTCCAACTAATCTTAATTTCGCTCTACGAATTCGTCTTCTATAGACAGCTGAAGCAATCGGAATCCACCTGAAGAGGCCAAGCCTATGTGTGTATTCAGAAGAAATTTGTACAGGCACTTTCGTTACCGTGGCCATCGTTACATGAATGCATAAACAGGACTACGTCGCCCCCCTCCCCCTAATCCTATTAAATTATAATTGTCCAAATTATTTTATTTTCATTTTGACCACTTCATCTTTAATTACGTGTTATCCTTGTAAAATTAATTTATTCTATCCATTTCTACCTTTTAATTGTGTGTATTGATTTTCTTCGTTAATTATCACCCCATTGACATTCTGACACTGTTTAATTAATAATAATAATAATAATTTGCTTTATTCCAAAACAGTACTTGTGATACAGAATGGAATTCTCAGCATTTTCACTACAGTATTGCATCCAGTTAGTACATTATCAATAAATAGAATTCTACATAGATTGAGGAAACCACAGTTCATTATTACAACAATACATTGGCATGTTCAGTAGCAAAGGTAAAGCTTAAACAGTGTTTGAAGGTGTTAGAAAAGTGGGAGCTGTCTTATTAACTGGTGTAAGCGAGAGAAAGAGACAAAGCAGCACATAACGGACAAAGAAGAGAGAGAAAAGGAACAGAAAGAAAGGAAATGTTGTACCTATTGATGAAGTGGGTTGGAAAGATGAGATCCAGTTGTACTAATGACTATTTAATGAATTATAGGTGTCACGCCTAATGCTTTCTTTATCACACAGAACACGAGCTAAGTAGGGTATGGTTGAGTTTTTGTACTTGCTGGTGCGAGCATATAGTTTTCTATATAGGCTTCTGGACCTGCCTGATGAGATGCAGGGGGAGAGTTGTGAGTGAAGAGGGTGGTGGTGTGAGTTAGATAAAATGGATTTGGCCCATTTTTCACATGAGTTCATGTGCCTGTCAACCAAAATATTAACAAGCTGGTTAAGTGGCACGTTGCTTACCCTGCTGACAACATTTAACATCCTGCGTAATATGCTATAGTCTTTCTTCAGTAGCCCTGGAAAAACTAAGGGGGAACAATAGAGAATAATAGGCAGGATGCGAGAATTAACGAATTGTAGGAGAAAGGGTTGGGTAATACCAGAATGTTTTAACTTCTTAATGTAGAAGGCAAGACGGAATATTTTCTTAGAAATTGCTAAGATATGAGACGACCAGGAGAGATCAGCAGATAGAATGACACCTAGGTATTTAATTTCCGATTTAGTTTCTATTTCAGTGCCGTCTATGTTGCATACCTCGTGAGAGCCAATTATTGTTAACAAGCATATCAGTGCCACTTGATTGGTAAACTGTTGTGTATTGTAATAAAAATTCTATATATATTAGAGTAGAGCCAGAGATGAGGATCTAATTGAAAAGTAAATATTTCTTCGCTCAATCTTTCTGCTTTCCAAATAAGCTAATTCTGGGAAAGTTCAACAATAGAGTCCCAGGAGTGTGAACTCTCTCTCTCCAATGACCTTGAACGCATGCTAGTCGTTGGCTGTGATGGCACCTGTCATTATCATAGCTGAAATATCAATGCTATTCACCAACTTAGGAGCAAATTTCATCCGTGTGACGTTTTCAAGTACTGTTTGGACAATGTGTTAATAGCTCGTTAGGGTTAGGATTTGGGTTAAGGTAAGTATTGGGGTTAGGTTTTGGATCAGGGTTATAATTAGTGTAAGATCGATTCAATTCCAATCCTTAGATCAAGTCAACCTGTCCCGGATCAGCCTAGCGTTGTTACAACCAAATTAGCCATGCCTAACGTGTCTATCCCACCTTGTTTAATGACCTGGTTGTGTGTTTTTACTTCGATCCGTTTAGTCAGACCGTTGAACTCATGACCCAATCAGAGTAATTTTGTGAACTGTTATTTTGCTGACCCATGTCTTACTTTGTATTAGAACAAGACATGTAAGCGAACAATATTGTTTTCAATTAGATCTTCTTCAGGCTTTACTCTAATTTACATTATTATTATTATTACAATTATTATTAAGATTATTATTATAGGTTTCCAGGCCGTAGGTGTTACGAACTTCCTGAAATAATTTGAGCGCCGAGTCAGATTGATTCATTATAAATTATTTAAATTAATCCCAGCGTGTTAAAGATCGGCTATAGCAATGCATGCTATAGAAAGCGGACATAAGATTGATTTCGACAATGTCGAAATTCTTGGAAGAGGATTTCATTCACATAAAGAAAGATTGACTTCTGAAGCCTTGCACATCTTAACCACATCGAATGCAGTGAATAGGAAGGATGGGATAGACTTATCACCTATATGGCAAACTCTTATGAAGCAAGACAAATGAAAAAATCAATCAGCACTCTATGAGCCTCCATGACCTTTTAAAACATGTTTATCAAATATGAATTCACGTATTTTCCACAGGACAAATAACATACATACACACACACACACTCATACAAAACTAATCTATACAAATTAACCATACAAGAATGAACACAACAACAACTTGACATTAAATAAAGTATAATTATATTTTAATAGTTTACACACAATGATAAGTTTTGTCATTGTGTGTAAACTATTAAAATATAATTATACTTTATTTGATCTAATCCACAATGCTCAAACTTTTTACTGATATTAACTTGACATTAGTCATTACAAATATATGATTGATGACTGCTTACATATTTTCTATTGGTAAAAATGTCCATAGACAAATGACCTTCAGACAAACTGACTGTAATGTATGTAAAAAAATTTTTGACTATATATTTTGATGATTATTAAAATCCGAATAAATCTGCTGAAGAAGCTGTGGCTTACACAGCGAAACGTTCAGAAAAATCTTGTTTTGATTTTCTTAACACGCTGGGACTAATTTAAATAATTTATAATGTATTAAGATTATTATTTGATTCCCAAAATCACCGTCATTGGTTAAAATTTTATAAATAAATCTATGTAAATTAGAGTAAAGCCTGAAGAAGGGAATCTAATTGAAAACAATATTGTTCGCTTATATGTCTTGTTCTAATATTATAAATGGGAATATTTAAAGATTACTTTGTATTATTCTGTTGAGTTTATCTTATTTGCATTAAACAAAAATCCCTACCAAACCAATACTTGAAAGTTTATCTTATTTATTGATTAGTTAAGTAGCCAATTAAATTCTATCTTTGTGCCTATGCTCTGCCTACCTCTTACTTGGGTTCATTCTTCTATTGATTGCTTACCTGAACGGTCGTGTCTGATCCGGCTAGTTCGTAATTTTGGCTTTAACGTTTTTCCGCTCTGATAGCGGTGCCTTGCTGTCTGTTAAGCATTGTGTTTTGTACTCTTGAAACCGTTAAGGTTTGTTGTTTATTATTAGTACCGTGGAAACAGTGACCGGCTTCTTGTTTGTTCTGGACCGGGCTAGCCTTTATCTACGCGTGACTTAATTTCAAGCGATATTGCGCTTACAATTAGCATTAGGGTTAGAATTCCGGTTTGGATAAGGGTTATAATTAGGGTTAGGACTAAGGTTAGGTTTAGTGTTGGGGTCAGGATTAAGCTTATATGGTTACGATTAGGGATAGATTTATAGTTGATGTTATTTATTGTAATTTGTTTTATTATCCACGTTTTCCTGCAAAGCAGTCAGTCGTCTATCCTCTTGCTGGAAATCATAATAATTCAACCGAGGGCTTTTGTGGAAAACTGCAAACAGGATGAGAGAGAGAGATAAACGATTCACAACAACAGATTATCTGTAGTTATCTCGGTAAATACCCATGTACAGAAACTAGTCTAACTTAGCAACTGAAACTCCTCTCGTTACAACTAGGATGTATTTTTAAGTCAATATACATCATTTTTTGAGCAAACATTCGTCATGTTTATGATTGGTCAGCTGAAGGTCACTCACTGGTGTGCGTTCGCACTCCGGGGACGCCATTGTTGAACTTTGCCCTAATTCAACAATGGCTCAGAATATTGTAGGTTTAATCGTAAGTAGATATACGGATCAGAAACTTGGCAGCGGGTCACGAAGAATATTTCAAACAGTCTGTTGCAGACCTTTATCAACAACTATCTCAGTTTTATGCTATGGGAACAAACAAAACAAGAACCAATCACTCAACAAATACGCAGGAGAAAGTAGAGATGGATTGGACACTCGCTGAGGAGACCGGTGCTGGGTGACATCGCGCGTCAGGCCATCCATCGCTCGAGTGGAACCCGAAAAGGAAGCGGCGAGTAGTGGGACATCCAAGGGTGACATGGAGGAGATCGTGTGAAGAGGAGTTGAAACAGTATGGATTAACATGGATGCAAGTGAAAAGTACAGCAGAAGGCAGAAGCAGCAAGTGGAGGCGTACAGTTGAAGCCCTATGTTCCACTAGGAACCCAAAGGAACAATAATAATAATAATCGTAAGTAGAAAGTAAAAGCCCCCCCCCACACCAAATAAAAGGATATATATATATACATATATACATAGTACTTACAATTTCGAAGCCTTTCAATCTCTCTTTTCTTCCAATACTTTCTAATTCTGAGGTGACAATTTTCCGAGCCATAGGTTGTGAACACAGCTTGGATACGTCTTGTTTTTCAGTCAGTCTACTACTCCTGTCCTCCTCCTTATCGCTGTCACCACCAGTCACATTCAATACACCATTGTGTATGTTCGTATGATCTGACGACTTAGCCAACAGACGTTTCGATAATTCTTTTATATTCGGTACAACTATAGCCACTGGGAAGTTGTTCAGTGAGTTGCCATCGATGAATATCTGTTCAACGATTGGACTTAACAGATAGATATTTTCTAGTCTCTCGGGGGCAATATATTCACCTTGTGATAATTTGAAGACATTTTTACACCTGTCGACAATTTTTAAACTTCCATCCTGAAAGAAACAACAAAAAAGGAGTATGGAGAAAGAAAGAAACAATATGAAAGCTTAACAACAATTTTAAGATTATTCCAGATTAGTTTGTTTATTAGATGTATCACACAGTCATAGAAACAGTATTATTGTTCCCTTGGATTCCTAGTGGAGCATAGGGCTTCAACTGCACGTCTCCACTTGCTGCTTCTGTCTTCTGCCAATGTACTTTTCACCTGCATCCATGTTATTCCATACTGTTTCAACTCTTCTTCACACGATCTCCTCCATGTCACCCTTGGACGTCCCACTACTCGCCGCTTCCCTTTCGGGTTCCACTCGAGCACTGGCCTGACGCGCGATGTCACCAGCAGCGGCCTCCTCAGCGAGTGTCCAATCCATCCATCTCCACTTTCTCCTGCATATTTGTTGAGCGATTGGTTCTTGTTTTGTTTGTTTGTTTATTCCCATAGTTTCTTGTTGGTTCTTGTTCATTCCGGTGGCCATCTGATCTTCAGTATAGAGCGAAGACAGTTGTTGTTGTTGTTTATCAATGTCTGCAACAGGCTGTTGGAAATATTCTTTGTGACCCAGTGGCCAAGTTTCTGATCCATCCGTATAGAAGAACTGACTGACTTGACGTTTGTATTGAAAATCCGAATTTTGTTGTTGAGTGTTGCTGAGTGACGAAGATTTCCGGATTGGTTGTTTCAGGTTGATGAATGTGTTTCTCGCCTTCCCGATTCTCGCTCGATTTGACATCCTCGTCCGTTCCTCCTGTAGTTGAGACAATGCTCCCTAGCTAGATAAGTGAATGAAGTAACCTCTTTCAAATCCCTCCCGTTGATGGTGATTGGCGGCGCTGGATGTTGCTGCTGTTGTTGTTGTTGTTGGTTGGTTATTTTCATAACCTCCGTCTTGTCTATGTTCACCTGGAGTCCTGTCTTTGCTGCTTCCTCGACCAGTTTTTCGGTCGACTAGTCTATGCTCGACTAGTCTGACCGACTAGCTGAATATAAAAACCTAGCAGCAAAATCTAGATTAGTTGACCCGAATAAGATAAGAAATCTAGAGAATAGTTCAGCAGCTATCCCAAGCACTACATGCAGTTACACACAACCATACAATAGGCTGGATGGGATAGGATGACAGTTTTAAAATCTAATGTCACAGCAGGGTTGAGGGAGGGAGAGATTGGTAAAAACGGAAGCTTTGTTTATCGAATCAACTGAGAGAGAATACGTGTAATAGGAATGATTCAACACCTGTCCACACAGATATCTGGAAAATTCTACTACCACGCCTACGACGACAACAAATAGGAGAGGACAAAGAAAACTATAAAACTCAAGTTTCGAAGTCGTGTGACTATAATTCATGAGGAAATGATTATGAACCACAATAAATTTTGTTCGAAACTGTGTTATCCAGTAAATACTAATACTATTTCTGTGACTGTGTGATCTATCTAATAAACAAACTAATATGGAATTACTTACTACCACCACCACAGTGCCCAAGTTTTACACACATTCCACAGTGAGTCAGTGATGATGTTCCCACAACGGGTTCGAACCCAGGACCTTCCGGTTACAAGGCAAGCTGGCTCGTGTACCATTCAGCCACTCACTGGAAGCCGCCCGATTCAATAGGCAGCCAGCCCATGAATTCTAACTTCTACCAATTCGTGATTTAGCACGACTGGCACCAATCAATGTCGTCGGTGGGACATCCATCCTCACACGTGACAGACATCTCGATGGACCTCACTGGTCACGACTTCTCACTAGAACTGACTTCAGGAAACTCCATCCTGTAGCAAGTGGTCACTAGCGAGCATCAGATTAATTTTCTATAGTTTGGTTTGTAAGGGTTAGTTTTGTTTTTACGAGTTGATCACGGATTGATATCAGTTAGAGAACCATTGAAAACCAGCCACAGGGAGTACTGGACTAACTGATATCGGTCCGTGATCCACTCGTAAGAAACATAACTAACCCTTACAAACCAAACTATGGAAAATTAAAATTAATTGTTCCCCTAGGGGGAATACAAACACCGGAATTAAAAGAGTAAAGAGAGACAGAGAGGCTGAACTTGTGAGAAAGAGAGTCAAACACAACCAGAATCATTCTGTGTGGTATTGGATAAAAAAAGGGGGAAATAGGATCGTAGTAATGAGACGGGATTTTTCTTTTCATTCCTGTACATTCCCAGTGGAACATAGGGCACCTTCAAGCTAGAGGCTTGAAGTTTCTGTAGCAGAGGTGATTATTTTTACAGGATGAGGGTTGCTAGCCTGAGGCCCAACCTTTCCTCTTTACCAGTCTTAGTGCTGGCTTAGCGAGCGAGGTAAAGGAGTGGGTTGGTGGCCGGGTTTGGAACCCCGACCACATGCGTGGTTGGCGAGCACTCTACCGCTTTGCCACTGACGCAACGAGACAGGATAGATAGTAGGAAATCTGGTATCCCTTGTTAAAATACAGAATAACAATGGCGTGCACGATAGTACAAACAACCAGGATATACAGTTTGTCACTGTGTCTGTGAGAGAGTTCACTGGTCCCACCAACATTCCAAGTAAATAACATCTGAGAGTAGACAAGATGAAAGGAAAAATAAAGAAATTTCTTTACTGGAAATTCACTACGCCATATTAAGAACTGCAACTAAACAACGTGTTCTGCATGTCTTCTGCTGATCCTTAAGGCAAAACTGTTAACTGGCACATATACTGGCACTTTCCTTATTGACTTATCACTACTTGAAAGAAGAGAACACGAAGTTCTGCAAAGACAACTGTCTTTTCGGCGATTTCATTTTCAAAAGTAGCTGTACAATCACATTTATAAAATACATAATTTTACATGGATACAATTCATGTTTGATTCCACATAATTACGACGGCGAATAAAAGGTGACAATTATTTTCAAACAAAATTAACACAGGATTAGAACGGATAACAAGTGTGTAAAAATGAGCATGGAAACAAAATTGAAATAATAATAATTTTCAGCTTGAGATGGGAGTTAGGAGGTGTGATGAATGTAGATTACAAGAAAGAGCCTTAGAAAACACAAAAATTGCACAAGATTAGAATATAATTGTAAAATAGTTATTTTAAACGAATTATAAATGTGAGCACGAAAAGCATGGAAACATTGCGAAATGGTAGCGCTATGTTTTGAACTGGAAGAAGTTAGAATTCAAAGACCATTGGACTGGGTCCCAGTGGCTCAATGGTCTACGAGCTCACCTTGTAACAAGAAGTTCCTGGGTTCGAACTGGGTGCGTACTGATGAAGAGTCCCCAACTAGGCTGACGAAAGAGCTGTCCAGTACTCCCTGCAGGTCTTCCAGTGGTTCTCTAACTGATGTCACCTCATGATGAAATCCTCCATGCAATCAAACATAATCCCTACAAAACCGATACTTGAAAATTTAAAATAACTGTTTTTATAACTGAAAACAGAAATGGGGTGAATCGAATGAAGACAGAGGGAGTAAGAATCACACACTCAGCGAACGAAAAAAAAGATGAAAAAAAGAGAACAAAAGAAGAAAAAAACGGAAGCTAAGGGAACATACCGAACTAGGCGCATGGTGGTTCTTACTCCCTCTGTCTTCATTCGATTCACCCCATTTCTGTTTTCAGTTATAAAAACAGTTATTTTAAGTTTTTTTCCATGCTTTTCCTGCTCACATTTATAATTCGTTTAAAATAACTATTTTTTTTCAATTATATCTTAATCCTGTGCAATTTTTGTATTTCTAAGGCTCTTTCTTGTAATGTACATTCATCACACCTCCTAACTCCCATCTCAAGTTGAAAATTTTGATTTCAATTTTGTTTCCATGCTCACTCATTTTTAAACACTTGTTATCCGTTCTAATCTTGTGTTAATTTTGTTTCTAAGCCTTTCCTCGTAAACCATCCATCTAGTTGAAAATAATTGTCACCTTTTATTCGCCGTCGTAATTATGTGGAATCAAACAAGAATTGTATCCATGTAAAATTATGTATTTTATAAATGCGATCGTACAGCTACTTTTGAAAATGAAATTGCCGAAAGGATCGACATCTTTGCTGAACTTTGTGTTCTCTTCTTTCCTAATTGGTATTTAAAACAATTAGTCCCCCTTTTATAAATTTGGGGATAGTGTTGTGATTAGAAGACGGAGATTATCTGAAAAACAATGGGATGTGATGTATTTGCGCAATCTGATCCCTGACAGATTTACTTGTCAAGTCGATATATATATATATATATATATACATACATACATATGAAAAAGTTAAATTAAAGAAAGTGACAAAACAAAAAAGATTTAAGAATGATTAACACAACGTTTGATAATCCAATCAAATAAGGATTACCAAGGTACGTGGGTTAAGAGTAATAATAAACTGTTTTTGAATACACAGTTGGGAGTGGGGGGCTTAAGTTCATGAATAGCTATGGCCTCAGCGTATTTCAATAAGCGCCCTTGACCGCTTTTATAGATGACCTTAAAGGCTGAGTTAACATCAACCTTATGGTTCATCTCTATTAGGTGTTTAGTTATAGACAAAGTTGGTAATCTGACACCTGCATCTACTGGTTTTCTACAATTCATTTGTTTTTCCAACCATTTCGGGATATGCTCACTGTCCCAGTCTCGCATGCAAAGCGCGATTACTCCTCCCTATGTAAATGTGACCACACACACACACACGAAAATTGGTAAGTAGTGTGGGATGTGACATAATAACTTGTGCACTTTTGAGGTTTGCAGTGGAGTATATTATAATCGAGATGAACCATAAGATTGATGTTACAACTCAGCCTTTAAGGTCATCTATAAAAACGGTCAAGGGCGCTTATTGAAATACATTGAGGCTTTAGCTATTCATAAAATTAAGCCCCCCACTCACAACTGTGTATTCAAAAACAGTTTATTATTACTCTTAACCTACTTAACTTGGTAATCCTTATTTGATTGGATTACCAAACATGTGTTTTTTTGTCCTTCACATTCCCCAGTGGAACATAGGGCTTCAAGTTTCTGTAGCAGTGTTTGTTTCACAGGATGGGGTTGCTAGCCTCATGCCCAACCTTTCCTCTTCACCAGCATTATTTCTGGCTTAGTGAGGTCAAGGAATGTGTCGGCTGGGGTTCGAACACCGGATCATGCGCATGGTCGGCGAGCGTCCTAACCGCTATGCCACCGACGCAAAGTTTGTGTTAATTATTCTTAATTCTTTTTTTGTCACTTTGTTTAATTTAATTTTTCCATATATATTAATTTGACAAGTAAATGTGTGAGGGATCAGATTATTGTTCGAAATGTAAAGCGCAAATACATCACATAACATTGTTTTCTTCAGATAATCTCCGTCTTCTAATAACGCTATCTTAATTAGTTATTAACAAACGTTAAATATTTTAACTACTGTCATCTATCCACACCATGAAAAGTACTAATAAACAACTATCAAAATCTGAGAATAAAATCTCCAACAATTGCTTGCAAGTCTACTTCAACCGTCTAATTCTCTAGAGAAAGCTTTGGTGAATGTCAAAGATATGGTTCCCACAGTGTCACAAAGTAATTGCGTCTATAGGATAAAGTGTTCAGAATGTGAAGCATGCTATATACAGGGGAGAGTAGAGCAGTAGACAGGTGAAAGTAAAAGTGGATGAACATAGACTATGTACGAAACGTCCCCACCTAGAAATGAAGTAGAATTAAAAAGTCTAGAGAAAAGAAGATCGCCTATATCAATGCATGCTATCATCTATGGACAGCGGACATAAGACTGATTTCGACAATGTCGAAATTCTTGGAAGAGGATTTCATTCAACACACAGAAAGAAAGGTTGATACCTTTGAAGCCTTGCACATTTTGAACCACATCGAATACAGTAAATAGGAAGGAGAGAAGGTATAGACTTATCACCACCTATATGGCAAACTCTAATGAAGCAAGACAGATGAAAAAAGAACAACAAAAACCTCTACGAACCTCCATGACCTTATAAAAAATGTATTATCATGTTTATCACTTGTATTAGGTAGCACTAATTATTTTATTATTTATTTATTTAAACGCAGAAAAACTTGGTACTCTATGGCACCAAGAAAGATGCACCACACAATAATAATAAAACAACATAGATTAAAAGTAAAAATATAAGTAGAAAACGTGTAAAGAACTTCAACTGGAAGGAAAACAGTCATGTTTAACAAGTTCAAACAGTATTCGTTAACTATCATCAGGAAGGGAAGAAAGAAGGAAATCGCAACACATTCACCATTGATTACGATTCTTGGCCATATCCGATAACGTTTCGAGCCATCGATTCGAGCTATCTCGCGGACCTCAACCAGGGAGTTGTGACGCACTAACCGATGCTAATCTAGCACAAATATCCTTCATCCCACGACGCCACGTCATGGACTGACCACCCCTCCGCCTTTTACATCCTGTCCCAGGGCTAGCGAACAGAGACCCGTACGGAAGCCTCTGGGGTGACATTCGCAGCACATGTCCAAGCCACCGGAGCAGGTGTTTCCAGATGACGACACTCAGTGTATGGCGATCTCCACAGTGTTCAAACACACGCCGCCGAACCTCAGAATTACTCACGCGATGATGCCATGGAACGGAAGCAATCCTGCGGAGAGAGCGATGATCGAACACGCAGAGTCGCCGCACATCCTCGGCTCGGAGAGGCCAGGGACGTTTCGAAACACTAATCATAAACTTACGACTACAAACTGAGTAAATTTACAATTTTTTCAAACAAATTGTGAGTTTATTTAAAATTAAAAAAAACCTACTTCATTCCAAGCGCCAACATCCCCTGTATGCAACCATCCATCTTCATCAATAAGCTGTTTCGTATTCTCTTCATCGTTATAATAACCTTCTGTACATTGAACACCTTTAACGCAAACCTGATGTTGAAATAGTATGGAAAGAAAGGTAAGCAAATACACTGTGCACAGCAAAACAATAAACAAAATAACTATAATAGAACTTAGTGATTACACATACGGACTTGTCATAGGAGTAAATATATAAATTGGGAAATTAATAAAGAGTTAAGAGGTGGGTTTATTCAACAGCTGTACAACAACGGCACATGTCAAGTGATCCACAACGGAAAACTCAGCGAAGCGTTTGGAGTAAACACAGGAGTCAGATAAGGGTGCCTATTATTACCAAAGGTATTCCTAATTGTGGTGGACTGGATTATGCGTCGTCAGACAGTAGGAAACGAGAAGACAGGGATATCCTGGACTGACGTAAAGAACCTAGAAGACCTGGATTTCGCGGATGATTTATGTCTGATGTCACACAGAATCGAAGACTTACAGGCGAAAATCGACAAACTGGTCGAAGAAGCAGCAAAGACAGGACTCCAGGTGAACATAGACAAGACGGTTGTTATGAAAATAACCAACCAACCAACCAACCAACCAACAACAACAACAACAGCAGCAGCAACATCCAGTGCCAATCACCATCAACGGAATAGATTTGAAAGAGGTTACTTCATTCACTTATCTAGGTAGGGAGCATTGTCTCAACTACAGGAGGAACGGACGACGATACCAAATCGAGAATCGGGAAGGCGAGAAACACATTCATCAACCTGAAACGAATCTGGAAATCTTCGTCACTCAGCAATACTCAACAACAAAATTCGGATTTTCAATACAAACGTCAAGTCAGTCAGTTCTTCTATTCGGATCAGAAACTTGGCGGCGGGTCACAAAGAATATTTCCAGCAGCCTGTTGCAGACCTTAATCAACAACAACAACAACTGTCTTCACTCTATACTGAAGATCGGATGGCTGGAAAGAACAAGAAACTATGGGAACAAACAAAACAAGAACCAATCGCCCTAGAAATATGCAGAAGAAAGTGGAGATGGATTGGACACTCGCTGAGGAGGCCACTCGCTGGGTGACATCGCACGTCAGGCCATCGCTCGAGTGGAACCCGAAAGGGAAGTGACGAGTGGGACGTCGAAGGGTGACATGGAGGAGATGGTGTGAAGAGAAGTTGAAACAGTATGCATTAACATTGATGCAAGTGAAAAGTACATCAGAAGACAGAAGCAAGTGGAGGCGTGCAGTTGAAGCCCTATGTTCCACTAGGAACCCAAGGGAACAATAATAATAATATAATAAGAGGTGGGTGAGAAAATAAACTACTTAGGTCAAGTTAAAAGGAGGACATATTCAAGGTCAAAATAACAATAAAGATAAATGACTAAACCAAATAACAGAGGTAATAGTACATCTACCCTGGTTGGTATCAAAACAAAGTTTACCAACAAGGAAGGAAGGTTCAGTGTGATGATGAATTGCTGCTTTGAACGCATACAGGTGGTTTAAACTTCCTAACTGCCAGCTACGGCTTCCACAAACTTTAGGACACGCCCTCCCCGAAACACATTTTATAGATAGGTTTAAGAGATCTGTTAACGTCAATTTTATATCCTGTCTCCTCTGTAATATGTTTCGCAATAGAGGAGCTAGGTCTTCGTCTGTTCTCACCATTAATGGGTTCTGAAGATTCGATTTGTTTCTGGAGCCATTTAGGAATATGCTCTGAAGCCATCCCTTACTTGCAGAGATCGATTAGTCCTCCCTCCTCTGTATGTGTGTGTGTCCACATGGACATTCAAATTGGTAAATATGCGTTCAAAGCAGCAATTCGTCATTACATTAAACCTTCCTCGGTAAATTTTGTTTTGGTACGAACCAGGGTAGATGTACTATTACCTCTGTTATTTGGTTTAGTCATTCATCTTCATTGTTATTTTCACCTTCAATATGTCCCCCTTTTAACTTGACCTAAGTAGTTCATTTTCTCACCCACCTCTTAACTCTTCATTAATTTCCTACATATATTTACTCCTGTGGCAAGTCCGTGTGTGTGATGGATCAGATTGTTCGAAATGTGTTGTGCGCAAATACACATAGCACGCGATTCAGGAAAATTACTTCTTCTTATTGCTTTGTCTAACTTAACTCATAAAGGGGAACTAATTGTTTTAAATAGAACTTACATTGCTAAAACTACTACTTGTTTTTAGTCAAAAATATTTTTTTTTAAAAAGAGTATTAAAAACTGAATTTCAGGAATTTCATCTGTAACTCTTATAAAGACACACACTTTTATGTTACTTTTGACAATTGACAAATTTTTGAAGTGAATTGACAACCTACTCACAAAATGATCGAATATTAATCTCAACTTCTCATTTTCAATTATAAGAGGAGAAGATTTTGTTTATCACAAAGGATAATGAAGAGATTTACAAAGAGACAGTGTCATCCAACTCGTCGTTTCAGAGAAATACAACTGTAACGATAGAAGGCAAGAGCCAGGCAACAGATCGTTTATTAAGGAAATCAACAAATTTTTATCGATTTTCACGTAGATTATTCTAGTTTATATTTAGGAGACAAACACAGCCTTCTGATTGGTTGTTTCTCTTTGTGACTGTTTCTTGAAGGTCAGATCAGCTATCCGTCTGCTAACTGTACACACCTACGCAAACAAAGTCTGCTGTGATTGGTTGTTGGGTCAGTCAGTCAGTCTTTGTTCTTGTTTTTTTTACATGACCAATATTAGGGACTTAAACATTGACGTAAATTACTGTCTACCAATTTTCGGCTCTCACCAGAGTAGTATTACTAGAGAGCCATTTCGTTCTAGTATGAGAATAATTAGCAGTAAGCACCCACCGGGATTTTGAAACCTAGGAACTTCCAGCTACAAGGTAGGCGGCTTGCTCACCATTCAACCACTGAGATCGAACCTAATGGCTTATGAGTTGTGACTTCTACCTTCTGGGTTCAAACCCCAGTAGGTGCGTACTGACGATGAGTCCCAAACTACAGCGAAACAGCTGTCCAGTACTACTTCGTGTTCAACGTTTCTTTAGCTGATAACAAGTAATCATCAATATAAGAATAAAAAACTTGGGCACTGTGGTAGAGCATAAATCCATTATGGATAAGATTTTATTTCGATAAATCACACAGTTTTATATAGAAATATTAACTTATGAACACGTTTCGAGCACAATTTATTATTACCACTCATAATCATCATATCAAGTCACTCACTCACTCACTCACTCACTGACACAACTTTCGTCTTCCTTCATTTATATACATGGGTGGAATTCATGATGATTAGACATTTGAATACAAATCAGTAATATAGGGCAATGTACATTTAGAAATAATAATAACGATAATAATGTGAGTGTTATTGATCAATTACAATCAGATGGGAAATAAGACGAGTGTTTCTTTTATAGTCATAATAAGTGAGTAACTTGTTAGAATGTTGTGATGTACTTGAATTGAATTGAAATAGAATACAATTTAAGATTATTTATTATCCTCCTCTGATTTGACTGACTGACTGACTGGTGGTAATAATATCTTCCATACATATCTCTGGTATTTGCATTGAGTCATTTCTGTTGCATGTGTTCTATGCGTGTAGACACGATGAACAAGGCAGGATTCAGTAATCAATCTCTCTCTCTCCAACTACGTAGTTTACTTTTTAGAATTTTAACCGTCTCCCACCATGCTATTGTGTGGTTGTGTGTTAATGCATGCAGTGCAATGTAGTGCTGAGTTGGTTTTTCTAAATTACTCATCTTCTTGGGGTCAACTATTCTTCCCTTAGCTAAATTCTTGTGTTCCGACAATCTGACTAAAACTGACCTACTAGTTTGACCTATGTCGTTGACTTAACTCACAGTCATTGCAGGGTATTTTGTAAATTATATTATTTTGTTTAATTGGGTCCATCGGGTCTTTTAGCCTACAAAGCTTGTCTCTGATTTACGTTCTACGTTTGAATTCCACCCAAATTCCTGATGTATTCAGGATCCTACGTAGGGAGGGTCTCAGATTTCCCCTCTTTGTATGATAAAACTATAGATGCCTTTTATTCCCTCTTATTTATGTTAGTTATCATTATTAGTTTCGCCATTAGACACCGCATGCATCAACACACAAACACACAATAGGATGAGTGGGAAAGAGTCAAAATTCTAAGGTGGAGAGAGAGCGAGGTTGATTACCGAATCCTGCTTGGTTCATCAAGTCTACACAAAACACAACACATGCAACAGAAATGATTCAATGCAAATACCAGAGATATGTATGGAAGATATTATTACCACCAATCAGTCAGTCAGTCAGTCAGTGAAATCAGAGCAGGATAATAAATAACCTTAAATTGTATTCTATTTCACTCCAAGCACGTCACAACATTCTAACAAGTTACTCACTTATTTTGACTACAAAAACACTCGTCTTATTTCCCATCTGATTGTAATTGATGAATAACACTAATATTATTATTATTTCTGAATGTACATTATCCCATATTACTGATTTGTATTCAAATGTCTAATCATCATGAATTCCACTCATGTATATAAATGAAGGAAGACGAAAGTTGTGTGAGTCAGTGAGTGAGTGAGTGACTTGATATGATGATTATGAGTGTCAATAATAAATTGTGCTCGAAGCATCGTGTGGTCGCATCAGTTAATATTACTTACTGTATAACACTACACACACACACTGTGAGTGACAGTTTATCAAAACAGAAAATCTTATCCACAATGGAGTAGTTATACTCGGCCACCACAGTGCCCAAGTTTCATACTTATTACAACTAAGGGGATTATGGTAAAATCATTTCGATTCTACAAGTCAAACGAAAACTCTTCACCCACAATGTGCAACTGCAAGACTAGTTATATCATGCTGCTACTTGTCTGAACCGTCTTCATTTGAAGTCAAATTGAAGTATATGCACTGAGGTGTTGTGTTGTCTAGTAAGACAACGAAAGCTTTAAAACGAAACACCAAAATCATCCACCTGAACTGCAAATGTTTCTCCATTCCTCTGGACTACCATCTCATATCATCTCATCACGTAACTTGAATTATTCTGGGGGGGGGGGGAGTTCAACCGCCAGCGGTGGTGAGTGAGTACTGCTGAAGAGTTCCGAACATGGAAAATAAAATTGACTGTCCAATACTCCATTATGGGTAAATTTTATTTTAATAAAGTCTCACACTGTTATACAGCAATGTTTACTGATGACGTTTCGAGCACAATTTATTGCTCATAATCATATCAAGTTAATCACACGACTTCCTAAATTCATTTATATAGTTCCATTGTTTTTCACTTGATTTGATTGGTAGTAATATTTTCCATATTTCGGGTATGAGTGATGAATCATTCCTATTGCATGTGTTGCGTGTAGACTCGATGAACAAGGATTCAGTAATCAACCTCTCTCTCCATCTATCTAGATTACTTTTTAGAATTTTAACCCTCTCCCAACATGCTATTGTGTGGTTGTGTGTTAATGCATGCAGTGCAATGTAGTGCTGAGTTGGTTTTTCTAAATTACTTATCTTCTCTGGGTCAACCATTCTTACCTTAGCTAAATTCTTATGTTCTGACAATCTGACTACTCCTGACCTACTAGTTTGACCTATGTAGTTGACCTAACTCACAGTCATTGCAGGGTATTTTGTAAATGAAACTATTTCGTCTAATTGGGTCAGCCTATAGGGTCCTTTTACCTACCTACAGAGCTTGTCCTAGCTGAGTGAATTTGTAGGTTTAAGTGCCACCCTAATTCCTGCTTCATTACTACCAATCAAATCAAGTGAAAAACAATGGAACTATATAAATGAATTTAGGAAGTCGTATGATTACCTTGATATGATTATGACCATTGAAGGAAATTGTGCTTGAAACGTGGTCATCAGTAAACATTACTGTATAACACTGTGAGACTCTATCAAAACAAAAAAGACTCATAATGGAATTACACTCTACCACAGTGCACAAGTTTTATTCTTATATCAATGTCCAATACTCCCCCCCTCCTCTACTGGTTTTCAATGTCAATCAATGTGTTAGTTTGTGTTTTGATTATTTCCAAAACAGTTGAAAACTTCCGTGATCAAGGTCACACACATACCTCACCCATTTTCATTTTATCCACACAGATATCCATACAGGGTATGTCTGCTAGTTTGACAGAGATTCCTGGGATAAGTGCACCAACATGGTTGAATTTAGTATCACCAAACAGTGTTATACTGACAACACCACATGACTCAGTTAATCCATAGCCTATTAACACCTAGTAAACAAACAAAAACAAAAAAAAATAATGTTTTGAAGAAAGGATGCGGTTAGAGGATGAAAGAATAATGCACGAAGAAGCGATAAAACAATAAAGTAGATATTTCGATAGAGAAAGAAAGACCAGATTTGCAGTATAAAATGATATCTTGATTCTATTTCACAGGTTCTCATCAGCTTGCTTTACTTTACTTCGGCTATCTCCTACCGGAGGATGAGCCGGCTTCATGAACATCTCGAATCATCGCTGCCCAGGCACGGCGATCTGATGCAAGGTTTTGCGACAGGGTTATCCAATTCTTGTTCCACAGACGGAGTCCATAGACGGTTTTGTAGCCCCAGGCACTCCATATCAGCCTTGACTGTACCAAGCCATGTTTTCAGCTGTCCACCCCTACGACATCGCCAAGATGGTAATGGCGAGGGATTTAGAACTGATTTGACCAGATCGTCATCTGGTCGGCGCAGAACATGGCCAAACCACCGAAGGCGACGTTGTTGGACCACTACTGGAATTTGGTTGGTGTCGTAGCAACGATGACGCACTTCTTCGTTGGAGAGTTTGTCCTGCCAACGAACATGCAGAATGTACCTGAGGCACCAATGGTTTCCTACCTCGAGTCTGCGTACATCTTGCACGCGAAGAGGCCAGGTTTCACAGCCATACAGGAGAACGGATCGTAAGAGAGTTCATGAAGTTTCATGGGAATTTGGTACGAGTGATGTCCCCAGAATCGCTCGGCCTTTTGTTTGAGAGTGCAGCTCTAGCCTTTACACAACCAAGTGTGATCTACAAGGCAGTAGGGGTGGAGTAGGGAGTCCAATATCCATTGCCAGCCGGTGACCGGAGTTCGGTTCATACGCCTTTTTGAATGGGGCCAGACATCCAGGACATCCAACAAGCCCTTCATCCATACGTCTGCCGGTGAGCTCCAGTGAGCTTCATACGCCAGTCGTTGGAGGTTTGGAATCAGGGTTTAGCGATCTCCCCTAGACTGTCATCCAATGGACAGTCAACCCGGTGAAGAGCGCCGGGCATCCGCTTTCGCCCTTTCACTTTGGTGAAAAAGACCTCCGCACGTGAAGGCAGTGAGTAGGACTTCCTCAGGAGAGGCTATTTAAGACGCCCGGTCATATGGAAGCATTTCAAGAGGTGTGTGGAGGGGTGGCCAACCCTCAGCGCAAGGCACCCACCCCCGACCATCCTGAGGCTTTGGAGGCTGAAAACTACCTGAAATTATAATGGTTATAAATAATAACATTTCAGAGCATATTCCGAGAAACTTATGCTTAAAAGGAAGCAAATATTTACAAAGTGCAATTACTAGACACCCCTCCCCTGTGGATACCTCGGGTCATTTTGTTGAGATTTCCAAATCCTTCAAAATATTAAAAGCATACAAAGGACAGCGAATCTACTACGATTTACTGCTGAAGCAATTACAGCAATCAAACGTCTCAAACCAAACTTATGCTCATAGACAGAAAGAGAGATGTAGTCAATTTCTCACTCATTCCCTTGGTAACCATATCACTTTCATTACATTGATTAATCATAGACACTAGTGAGTTCAACTCACTAAGCAAGTTTTCAAATTGATGAACTTTGACCTTGTTGAGTTGCCATGTTGACACTGTTTACTAGAATTTTCTGTTTTCTGTCTTCTCTCACCCCCACCCCTTTTTCTTCCTTTTTCATAGTTTGATAGTATATAAATTGATGGTAACTTAAACTACAAAAATTTTAATCCTTATATTCCGGATGTGTTTATCTTATAATGCATTCTGTATTACCTTTCAAACAATGAAGTATGAAATGTTATTACTTATAACCATTGCAATTTCAGGTAGTTTGCAGCTGATGAGAACCTGTGAAATAGAATGATGATGCATCATTTTATACTGCAAATCTGGTCTTTCTTTCTCTATCGAAATTTATCAAGGGAACCAAATGTATGAAAAAGTAGATAGTAATAAAATTTAACAGGAATTGTCCCGTACGCAGTTATTATTTATTTATTTACTTATTATTCCCTTGGATTCCGAATTAAACATAGGGCTGGCTTCAACCGCACATCTCCATCTTCTACTATTCTCTGCCATCCACTTCAGCTGGCTCCACGATTGACCATAATCTCTCATCTCCTCCGCCTCTTCTTCCAACTCACACGATCTACACCATGTCACCCTTGCACCAACGACTCACTCGTCGTTTCTCATTCCGATTCCACTCGAGCGATGGCCTGCATTGAGCGCACCATATCATACGACGGTCTCCTCTCAATGTATGCCCCGTCTGATCCATCTCCAGTTTCTCCGACATATTTGTTGAGCGATCCACTCTTCGTTGATTGGCTGGTTTGTTCCCAGTCAGAGTTTCTTCTTGCTAATGCTTTCTCAGAGGCCACGGCCGGCCGGTCATTTGATCTTCCGTATGGACCTAGCCAGCCAGCCAGCCAGTGAAGTGGGCAGTTGGTGATAAAAGTCTCCAACAGGCTGCTGGAAATACTTTACGTGACACACGTGCAGTGCAAGCTTCTGACCCGTATAGAATATTTTTTAAATTTTTTTTATTATTTTTGATTACAGCTTGATTCCACACCGTATTTTTTGTTACAGGTATGGAATTTTCAGCATGTGATATCGGTAGCCTAAATTTTGCAGGCCGACCATAGATATCAGGTGTGTGTCGGCAGGGAATCGAACCCCGGACCATGTGCATGATCGGCGAGAGTCACAACCGCTGTGCCACCGACGCACACACACCAAAGCACTAACTGACTGACTTCACTGACATTTGGATTGAAAATCCGAATCTTGTTCTCTATGCTGAGGTAGAGTCAGGCAGAAGATTTTCAAACTGGTTTCAGGTTGATGAAGGTGTATCTTGCCTATCCGATTCTGCCTGGCTGGCTGGTTGGGGCCCTCGGGATGGTAAAAACCAATGGTTGGAAACAATTGGTGACATGGCTCAAAATCGTTCTCAGTGGCGCAGATGCATCCACTCCTTGTGACTTATGATTTCCAATTAAACTGTTTTGTTCTCCGCTATTCCTATTCCTTTGTCTCACACCTCTGTTTACTGTCTATATTATGCATTTCTTCTACTTCCTTCTCTTGCTTTGCGTGCTACATAGATTGTGGCGACTTGAACTGCCGCACATATGTGCAAAGTTCTTTGTCGAAAACCGACCGACCGACCGGCTGGCTGGTTTCGACATCTTCATTCGTTCTGATTCCCTGTAGTTGAAACTGTGCTTTAGAGATAAGTGGAGGAAGTAGCCTCTGTCAAATCTCTCCCATTGATGGTTATTGGAGCTGGCTGTTGTTGTTGTTGCTGCTGTCGGTTGGTTGGTTGGTTATCTTGTTCACCTCCGTCTTCGAGTTTGTGTGATATATTCAACAGCATAAATTATCCACACACGAAATCCACATCTTTTCGAGTCTTCTTGTCGGCCACTCACTCACCCACCCACTCCCAACGCACACTCTGACGCATAATCCATTCCAGTCCAATCGACCACAATCAAGAATATCAGCGTTGGTGATAATAGGCAGCCAACCAACCAACCAGCCAGCCAGCCAGCCAGCTTGTCTTACTCCTGTATTCACTTTGAACGCTACGCTGAGTTTACCGTTTTGGATCGTCTAACCGACAAGTGGCATTGTCATATAGCCAGTCAGCTGTTGAATGAGGTCGATAAAGATTTGGGCACTACACTCCTTAGTGTTGAGACACTTTTTCCAAATTACTTCTCGATCAACGCTGTCTGTCGAAGGCGCCTTTTCGAAGTCAATCGATGAAGTTGAGGTAGACGTTTGACGATGCGTAGAGTTGCAGTTTGAGCTGCATATGATTTGTCTCTCCTGAATCCAGTCAGTTTGTTCCGGTGAGGCTGGTGGATTTCTGTATCCATCCAATGCATGGTTTATTCTGCCCAGAATGAGTTGACTTAATGTTTTACTTGGCATGGACATGAGCAATATTCCACGCCAGTCAGTTCTTACGGAGTGAAGTAAGAGTAAGTCGCCCTTCTTTTGTGTAGCTTGACAGGGTAGCCAACCTTTCTCTCAATCGGTAGGCACTCTTTTTGTTCCTTCCAAACCTCTTGTAATAAAAATGGGTCCGTTTTCACTGACACAGGGGATTCCATCTGGCCCTGCTGCCTCTCCGGACTTCAGAAGCTTGATTGCATTCACAATACTTAAAATGAGACTTCCCTCGGTGAGTTTTTGGTATTGTTTCGTAAATTTAAACATTCACACACACACAAGTGCACACAGTACGCCAGTAGAATTCGTTATTCTTACAAAGACATTTGTAAGCAAGTCCTTACTGCTTCCATGTCAGAAGATTTGAAAAGGTAACAGACCTATTAACACCCGAGAAACCAAGTGCTCTTTTGTAACAACAGAAGACAAGGGCCAGCCAAACAGATCGTTTACTTACGAAATCAACACATATTCATGTACATTATTATAGCATATCGTTAGCAGACAAACACAGTTTTCTGATTGGTGATCGTTTCTCACTGAACATTGGTTAATCTTTCATCTCCTTGTGACTGTTTTTTCAAGGTCAGATCATCTATCCATCTGCTAATTGTATCCGCCTACGCTAGCAAAGTGTGCTGTGATTGGTTGTTGAGTCAGTCAGTCTTTGTTCTTGTTCTTCTTTTTCACATGACCAACATTGGGGACATAAACATTGACGTAAATAACTGTCTACCAATTTTGGCTAGCAGACAGCTCTCATCACACTCGTTCTCCCATCACAAACTTACGGCTGAAGTTGGCTCGGTCTTCTTGGTTCTTTGCTCTTTTGTCTTGCTGCCTAGAATCTCGGTGCTTGCGGATGTTCATCTGTTTCTCTTTGTCTAACACTGCGATTGTGTCTGCGTAACCCCATCACCTCAAAGTGACCATATGTGGTCCTTCCCACTTTGGAAACTATTTGCCTGACCCTGTCGAACAATCGTTGGTATTTCGACTCACACTTTCATATGCTGCTTTCGCCCGACCTCCCAGCGGCGTCCCAAGTAACAGCGTCATCGCTGACAGATCTTGAACGCCACTCAACTGCGAAGAAGCCTCAAAGTCCTGCCCGAAGATCCAAATGTCTCCATGAGAAACTACAAGGCATAGGCTTTCCACTTTTCGGTAGGCAGCGACACCAAACATAACAACAGAATACAAGGCCCAGTCAACAGATCGTTTATCTTAAGGAAATCAACAAATATTTATCGATTTTCATATACATTATTATAGATTATTGTTAGCAGACAAACACGGTCTTCTGATTGGTCGTTGTTTCTCACTGAACGTTGGTTAATCTTTCATCTCTTTGTGACTGTTTCTTCAAGGTCAGATCATCTATTTGCTAACTGTATCCGCCTACACAGTCTGCTGTGATTGGTTGGGGCGTACATATTGACGTAAATCACTGTCTACCAATATATATATATATATATATATATAAACAATTAGACTATTGCGTACATTTAACAATCACTTACGGGACAACCGAACACCGCTCTAGTGAAACGTATAATTTCAGTTGGAGCCGGGGCACTACCACAAACAATACACTGGACACGACCACCTAATATATTCTTGATTTTATTGAAGAAGAGTATATCCCAAATACTTCTCTGATTGTAGATATTCCTGCAATGGAAGAGAGGTGATAACAACAAAATAAAACATAAGACATAGGACTTTAATTCGCCTCATCCGTTAACTGTTAAGGAAGGCTTAGTTAAGTGTTTAACAAACCGAGTAGTAGCACTAAGTAGTACAAAAAAGACCTAAAGGATGAAATGAAACCGATAGAAGAAGCGTTGGTGTTAATTAACTATCCTATAAAATTTATTAGGAAGATCACTAAAGGCCAAAAACAAAATAAAAATAATTGTGGAACTAGTAATGATAACATAAATAAGAGAGAATGTAAGTCATCTACTGTTATACCATATAAGGAGTGGACATATGAAACACTCCCTACGTAGGATTCTCAATAACAAAGCTTCTTCTTTCTTTACTTCGGCTATCTCCTACGGGAGGATGAGCCGGCTTCATGAACATCTTTGTAAGACAGTTCATGAAGTTTCATGGGTATTTGGTACGAGTGATGTCCCCAGAATCGCTCGGCCTTTTGTTTGAGAGTGCAGCTCTAGCCTTTACACAACCAAGTGTGACCTACAAGGCAGTAGGACTGGAGTAGAGAGTCCACTATCCATTGGCAGCCGGTGACCGGAGTTCCGTTCATACGCCTTTTTGAATGGGGCCAGACATCCAGGACATCCAACAAGCCCTTTGTCCATACGTCTGCCGGTGAGCTCCAGTGAGCTTCATACGCCAGTCGTTGGAGGTTTGGAATCAGGGTTTAGCCATCTCCCCTAGACTGTCATCCAATGGACAGTCAACCCGGTGAAGAGCGCCGGGCATCCGCAGTGGCATTGGAACCTACCAACTAACTCAGATAGGGCAAGCTCTGTAGGTTAAATGACCCTGTCGGTTGACCCAACTAGACAAAATAATATCACTTACAAAATACCATGTAATGATTGTGAGTGAGGTCAACTACCTACAAAGGTGAAACAGACTAGTAGGTCGGTTGTAGTCAGATTGTCAGAACATAAGAATTTAGCGAAGGTAAGAACAGTTGACCCCCAAGAGGTAAGCAATTTAGAAAAACGAACTCAGCACTACATTGCACTGAATGCATTATCACAAAACCACACAATAGCATGGTGGTAGAGGGTTAGAACTCTAAGAAGTAATCTACGTAGGTGGAGAGACAGAGGTTGATTACTGAATCCTGCCTGGTTCATCAAGTCTACACCCAACACATTCAACAGAAATGACTCAATGCAAATACCAGAAATATGCATGGAATATATTATTACCACCAGTCAGTCAGACAGTCAAATCAGAGGAAGATAATAAATAATCTTAAATTCTATTCTATTTCAATTCAATTCACGTACATCATCACAACATTCTAACAAGTTACTCACTTATTATGACTATAAAAGAAACACTCGTCTTATTTCCCATCTGATAGTATTTGAGTGTCCAAGTTTTATACTTATATCAATGACCTTATAGACAACATCTTCAGCGGAAGCTTGATGCAGATACCGGACGGCCGTTTGACCCCCGAGGGGATCTCAGTACTGGACCAGACTTGACTGAGCATAGACAGTCGCGATTCAGTTCAAACCAGCCGAATACTGACAAGCTATTTGGGCAAACTAGTGTATTACACTGGACCCCTAAGTCGTCTATTTTTCCACAAAAAAACTAATTCTCTATTTGCAAACTGACACAATTCGAGGTGGAATTTCACGACAGATTCCTGCAGATACCGAAATTATTCAGACCACCGTGTGTGTGTGTGGCCATCTAGAAAACGAGCGTAAACGCATTATACCACATATATATTACTGATTGTTTAATTTAAGTAGTTTGAGAAGCAAATTATCATTTTCATTGTGTACTACTGTGACGGCAGAAGACAAGGGCCAGCCAAACAGATCGTTTATTTAGGAAATCAACACATATTTATAGATTTTCATGTACATTATTATAGATTATTGTTAGCAGACAAACACAGTCTTCTGATTGGTTGTTTCTCTTTGTGGCTGTTTCTTTAAGGTCAGATCATCCATCTGCTAATTGTATCCGCCTACGCAAACAAAGTGTGCTGTGATTGGTTGTTGATTGAGTCAGTCTTTGTTCTAGTTCTTTTCACATGACCAATATTGAGGACATAAACACAGATTTGGCTAGCAGACAGCTCTTACCACACTACTAGCTAAGTTAAGGGAAGTGAGGCGGATGACTTCCTTTTTTTAGATTCCCTCCAATGATTTTGAAGTGACTACAAAATAAACTGACAAAGCTTTGTGCAAAAGAATATCGATTGCTACTCACAAAGAAGAAATTATTAATTAAGTATAGTAATGAAATGAAGTCAGCCAGTGAAACATCATTGTGACAGGGGAAAAAAAGAGAGAATGTGCACAAAATAAGAAACACAGTGTCCAAGACATAACAGAATGAAACAAACAGGTCAATTAGTGTCATGGATACAGAACTGTGTCACGAAATGATACTCCCACCGTCCTTCACCTTAAAATAATGCAAGAGAGAGAGAGAGCAGACACTGTTTCAAGAACACATATGCTAATTTTGGTTTCAAAAAGTATAATGATACGTACGATCTAATGCCTGAACAAAGCAAGAATTACAGTTTTAGCAGAATAAAGTGGTACCATCATTGTTTATTTCGTTGCCTTCTCGTCAACTGCTAACAGGGCAAAGACATTATTAAATAAACCCGGTCTACTCAAGACTCTGTACTATAGAGCGAGGAGAATATGCTTTACAGAGAGATTAGAGGAAGAATTTGAGTTTCTTGAAAAGACATTGAAGAGCAAAGGGTAAGTACCCTCAAAGGTTCATCAACAAGTATGGAAGATCTGAAGCGACAAATGTAAAACAAATCACGGTGGAGAAAGAGGCCAATCTACATTCAGCTTGATAATAAGGGTGAAAACATTGCAGCAATGATCAACAGAAGGCTACGTACATTACTAGCCAGAGCTTATCCTGCAGCTTAGCTCGTCGTCGTTTATCGAACAACTTACTCTTTGGTGCAATCAAAAATCGATAGATATCCTTCTTATGTTTACAACTGCAACTGTATATACAAATTTACACGTATCTGCGGGAGCAGAAAAAAGGGCATACCTACGATTTTGTGAACATGTACCAAAAAGCTTATGTCTAGAGCTGGGAAGAAATGCTTTAAACAGTGCCATCGCGCCATCGCCAGGCATCTCCTCGACACGCGTCGGCCGGTCATGAGGTGGACGTCAAAAAGTCGTTCAGAATTATCAATAAGCAAAAGAGCTCAATTTTCCTCAAGTTTACTGAAGGCATTTCCATTTCCAAGCGCCTGAAACCTGATTTATGCGTCCAGAAAGAAGCGGTTATCAGTCTGTCTTTGCCCTGCCTGGTAACTGGATATTTTCATCTCTTTTTCATCTGAATGTGAAATGCTGAGAAGTTTCCACCGTGTATGATCATTGTTGTTCGGAATAGTGTTTAATATTGCATATATATGTGTATATATTATTACTGTACGCATATACTGATCGATTGATTTCTGTTTAAAATGAACTCTGTGCAAGTATGTTAAATTGCTTTTGTAGATACACTTACTAATGTTTTTGCGCTGTAAGCAGCTGAAGAGAAGGCGACGAAATAAAATATGGTACCACTTTATTCTGCTAAATCTGTAGTTGTTGCTTTGTTCAAATTCGTTAAGGGGAATAAATGTATGAAAGATCTAATATCTTTTTTTTTAAGAACACAATATTCAGAGAAGAGACTCTTTTCAACGAATTTATTATCAAGCTGGTTTTTTTAATAAAAATTATATCCGGTGAGGGAATTAGGTCAAAAGTTCTACAGAAAACTGGTCAAAGGAGAAGAAGGATGACGACTATTGTATTGAAATGTAGTACATTTGCTTGAGAAAAAAAGACATCGGGCAAAGTTAAACTTTAAGCACCACCACCCACCAACTGCCAATCAGAGAAAGTGACCTTGAACAACGCACCAATCACGTGAAGGAGGCATCTGTGTGTATGGAATACATATGCATATTTATGAAAAAATTGCATAGAAACTGTATAAAAGTGTTACAGAGGGGACCTTTCTCGCACATGTGATAAAAATAGCTCCCAGTTTTAGGTTGGAGTATCAACAGAGTAGTGTAATTCCATTGTGGGTAAAGCTTATTTTCATAAAGTCTCATTATGTTATACAGTAATATTTACTGAGCAATAAATTGTGCTCGAAACGTGGTCATCTGTAAATATTACTGTATAACAAACACCCTGAAACTTTATCAAAAAATAAATTTTACTCACAATAGAATTACACTCTACCACAACCATAGTGCACAAGTTCTATTCTTATATCAACAGAGTAATTTAACCACATTCTATGGCATGCAATTATTTAGGTCTTCTAACCCTGAAACCTAACCTTGATGTGAAAATATCCCTAACCCTAACTGTAATCTAACTCGAACCAACACTATTATCGCCTTTATTAGGTTAACCTAACCCTAAACTTGTCCTTGGCTCAAAGCGTACCTTAATCTTTCCCAAAGCAACGTTTCAACTACAGGCGGAATTGAGGAGGAAATCAGAGCAAGAATTGGAAAAGTAAGACAAGCTTTCACTACTCTCAAGTCTGTGTGGAGGTCAACAGCACTGCTCAGCATCAAAAATAAGATCCGGATTTTCAACTCCAATGTGAAGTCAATCAGTGCCTTTCACTATACGGATCAGAGACTTGACCAGCGCGTCATGAAGGGCACTTCGAACAAACTGCACACCTTCGTCAACAGCTAGCTGCCTTCGCTCAATACCACTCAAGATCAGATGGCCGGCCAGAAAAGCTCAGCAACAGAGGTCTCTGTGAGCAAACCAACACAGGAGGAACAGATTGTGAAACAAATAGGTAGGAAGAAATGGAGGTGGATTGGCCATACTCTGAGAAAACAAACCATCAAGTGACATCACGAGACAAGCCATTGCTCAAGTGGAACCCGAACGGTAAGCGGCGAGTTGGTCGTCAGTGCAAGG